CCATTGGCATGATGAACTTTATTGCACATTAAGTGATGTTTCTTTCAGTGGTCAGGGTTGTTTACAATGTTTCCCCTACCTGGGTGTGGGTGTAGGTGTGATTGGTGAGGAACACGGAGGGTGACGTGCACTATCCGTGAGTACCAGCCTCTCTGGCTACTTTTGGAGATATTAGTTTCACGGTCCATCCTTTCTGAACTACTACTCTGGCGGGGAAAGGAAGGGGGTTGTCGTTATTGATGGCCTGGTTGGGGTAGAGCCCCTTTCTTTGTGATCATTGGATCATATTTTCAATGTCTGTTTCTTGTTGATTACGGGTGATTTGGTGCCTTATGAGATCCTGTAATTAATGGCGCCTGAGAAAGCCTATTCGTTGTAGCCGCATGGCAACCCTTGGTAGCGGCTCTTTGTTTGACACTCCATAATAAATTCGAGTCAGCCGTATGTGTGAGATTAATTCGATATCCAATGCGCATGTGATGGCGGTTATTGATGTGGCACCACTTTTGAATTAATGTGCCTCTTTGAGGGTGTTGGAGTAAATTTCTACGGTTGCTTTTTCTCTAAGCATCGTTTCGGGCATCGTACAGGCGTTCTTTCATCTTCTTCGATGCTGTTTGGTATTTTGTGCGCACGGATGTGGGAAAGTCACTATAAAACCATAGAAATGAGGTGGTTTTCCTTTCACATTTTGTTTATGTTTTCCCAGGGTTCTAGTTCTATTGCTCCTGTTGAGTTCTTTGTGCCTTAGGTTTCTTTTTGAAGGGAGATCTATTTGTTGTTTGCGTTCTGTGTGTCGTGACCCTTGGTTTATTCGTACAACCATTTCTGGTATTTTTCATTTTCTCATGCTTCCTTGTCTTTCTCTGTGGCCTGCCTCTATGGGGTGTCTTGTGCCCTTAATCGCTCTCCAAAACCCCTTCCTTTCTTTGTTCTATGTCTGTTTCATCTTCCTCATGGCTGCTCATCAGGGAAAACCAAACTCCTTTTTCACTGACTTCATGAGGGAGGTTGATACTACGTCATTATTGGTGGAGAGGGAGGCGGCCTTGGCCATTGATGGTGGAAGGGGTTTTTGGCCTCTCGTGCCTATGTCTCGGTGTGAGGGTGGCTCTTTTGATGTCATCACCAGCATACAATTAATGTGTCTTTGTGGCACTGTGGATGTGTCTATGTCCTATAAGTGTTAGGAGCCCCAAACCAATAGTTAAAGATCTCCCACTAGCTATACTGCCTGCCTGGACACGATACATTCTTGAAAACCCTATGTATTGCTGCATGCTTCAAGACGCCAGGATTCTTAGATTTGTGGATTGCTACACAAGCCTCCCGGGCCGAGAAGGTGTCAACTATGTCGTGAAGGAATGAGAGATCCATCATATGGATGGCCAAACCCTACAGGAAGGTTGGGCGAAATTTCAAAAATTTCCTCTCCCTTCATCTGGGAATCACATACCCTGTTTTTAGAAAATCTGCATTTTCAAGGATTAATCTTGAACCATAAACCGAACCAGATAAAAAATCAGAAGCAGGAGAGGGATATACCTGATACAGAGAAATAGTATCTCCCAATGAAGGTGTTCACACCCAAAGAAAGACTCCAAAGACTGCTCCCACTAAAGATGACACAGTAAATGTTGGAGCAGAATCAGCAGTGTTCGTCCTACGAACCGAACCCTTCACAAGAATTCGCTAGAGGCTATGAGCACAACTTCATATCAGCCTTTCTCCAAAGGCTGATATCAAGATCCAATCTTGTTCATTCCTACTTGGAAGAGGAGATCGAACAGGCAGTGTGGCGGTGGCGGTAGGAAGGAGGCGGCAGACAGAAAATAGCGCAGTGATGCTATGTTCTCTTTTCTGTAACTCTTGCTCTGAGAGTGAGGATGTGATCTTCTAAGAGGCTGCCTGATGAGAATAAAATTTGTCATATCTTTATCCCCCAATATTCAGTAATTTACACTTAATTGGTACCTAATTGGACTCATTACTCTTGTATTTCGATTCAGGGCAAGCAAGAAGGCGATTGGAAGAAAATAAGGCAAATCGGATGATTTTGCACAGTTTTGGCACCGTTCAGTGATCTGGGCATAACTCTCAATTCTGGACTCTGATTTGGACAATTCAAGAAGCACTAGAAAGATAAGAAAAAGGCCCACAACTTTTTTGTTTTAGGTTTTGGCATAATCGGTCTGAATCGAAGACGAATTCGGTCCCAAAGTTGGAGCAACTTCGTAGAGTCCCATTAGAAGCCCAGTTCGAAATCCCGAATTTTTAAAGAAGCCCAACTTCGTAGAAAAGTCTTGAAGCAATCCCGAATTTTTAAAGAAGCCCAGTTCGAAATCAAGATCCCAGAGTCCCATTAGAATAGAAGTTGAATGTAATCTCAAAAAAAGAGTTTTATTAGATTTAAATTTTCAAATTGTAATCGTAGAAAGATAAGAGATAAGAGTTAGGTAGGATAAGTTCAAATTAGACTRGGACTTTCCAGTTTGAGGATAATCTCCTTAAGGGAGTTGGAGAGCAGCCCTCTCCCCAAATCTATATAAAGGGGGGGCGGACCAGCACCCAAATCATCAATTCCTCCAAGAGAACTTCAGTCTTCAGAGAGAGAAATCAGCAACCAAGGAGGAAGAA